CTTCCATTTGTATGAGCAAACACACACAAAAGAACTGAAAAGTGCAAAAGCAATTCAAATTTATTCTTGAGACCCCATCCCAATATTGATTTACTTCCGACAGCCTTGTGTATATACATGTAATAAGTTTTCAAAAATATCAGATTTTCTAAGAAGATCTTTTCTTGTAGGCTACTAAAGAAAACAAGAAATGAAACAAGATGGAATGAATATTTATTAAATTACAGATTTTGATAGAAATTTAATTATGATACAAATTTATCTATTGTCTGAATATTATAAAAAGTACTCAGGCCAAATAAAAATAATAGTTGGCTTCAGGTTTCTGACCAACGTGCCAAAAATATGACCGGCCATAAACATATTATTGACATTTCCCAGTAGGGATCATATTTTTGTAAATATCAGAATATATAAATAGTCATCAGACTCATTTGCTACAAAGTATTTTGTTTGCTCATAATTTAATCATTATCTAGTCATGTTAATCCTTGACGCATTTGTTTCTTGCAAAACATGTGTAGCTCCCGGTTGATCCCGTGTGGCACATCTGATTATGTGTTTTTAAATAAAATGCTTTTCCAACCTACCTACCCATATAAAACATGGCTGTGAAACCTGAAACCAACTATTATGTTTATTTGGCCTCAGTAATATAAGTACAAAATATGTACAAAATCCTCTACCATGTACAGACATATGTCACCATTTATTATAATCATATCTTCAAGGAACTTGTAAACATAATATTGCAGAGATCTGTAAAAAAATGCTTTCATTGTTAATTGGCACAGATTTTCTGTGTGTGTGTGTGGGGGGGGGGGGTGCACACCCTCCCAGAAATGATTTGCACCTCCCAAAGGCATTTGGCACCTCTGCAAATTACATATATTTCGATTTGATAGTTTCATATTTGATTATTCTTACTACTAAATTTGTAAAATTACCAATATTATGGTCTCAGATCTCGCCATGCAGGCCTAGAAAAAATTTTGTTAAACTTTTTCCTTGGCCTTTCTGGGCATTGCCACCACGCCCCGGACAAAGCAAGCAGCAGCACCCTCCCCAGATATTATCCACCCCCTGAACGAAAATATGAAAATCCGTCTCTGACTCAGAGGGAAAGAAGTATTATTTTGTGTAGTAGTGGGATGGATTCACTTGGGGGTATTGGGGGAGGGGATTTTGTGTGAAATCCTTGGAAAATATCAAACAAAATAATAAAGGGATGGATTAAATTAATTAACATAGTTTTTTTAAGATTTTATATTATTAAGCTTTGTTAGTTCGGCCCTGACGATAACTCCATCACGACTCAGCTTTTACTTTCAATATGATGATCTTGAGTACGTACAATCATTGTGTATCATTGATAATATCAAAATATTGCCCAGCCCTATTTACTGGTGATGACGTGGTAATGCTGACCCTGAGGGAGGGGGGGGGGTGTCTAGGTAAAACACAGAGGTTAAAATAAATCCATAACATGGAGGCCTTTCAGAACTCCTAAACCTCAAATGCCGACGACTAACCAAGGAGCTAGAACCTGAGATCCCCATTGGCTAAATAATTTTCATTAAAAAAATTATTATTCAGCATGCATATTTCACATATTGCTATTTTTAATAAGCAAAAGTGAAAAGTCTTACACATTTGGCAAAAACAAAGAGTAACTTAACTCTTAAGACCAACATAAAATATATTCGTTTTTGGCAAAACGGTTAGACGAGGTCGGTTCAGTTCATGTTTCCCCTGAGCAGGACTTCTTGTTGACTTTATATTTGTTGACATGTTAATTGGCGTATATATTTATATAAAATAGCGCGTGGAAATTATTCTGTAGAATTAAATAAAAATAATCCGTATTATAGAGCATTTGCCCAGCTTTTACGAAGTTGTAACTTGTAAAGGTACAATCACTTTTATGAAACAGTATAAAACACGAAAACCTAATCAAAATCTCGCCTATATAATATATTTTTACAGTCGAAGGGTCAAAGGCATATTGCTATAAAATGTCAACACTCACCATCATCGTCTTCAAGATATAAATATTCCATTAATATCTCTAATCCCTCGCACGATTCAGACAAAACACTTCCCATGTACAGCAAAGCACCGCTATCGTCCAAAACATCCACGATTTCTTCCATATTCGACGAATTTTTAGGTTTTCGAGCACATTTGCAAGTTTTCGAGTGTTTTTGCAAGTTTTCGAGTCACGATTTCACAGTCCCTCAAATCAGCGCTGCCTCAAATTACGCGACCGCGCGTACAAATGAGGGACTGTGGAAGAGTCAGGGGAAAACCAGTGCGAATCAATATTTATTTACAGTAAAATGTTAAGAATTTTATTAGTCGGCAAATATGGATATAGTTTACCTATTTGATTGTCACTGAACAGTTTTTCATTGTGGTTTCATATATAACGTTTAAACTTTAAAAGGACATTGAAGAAGGGCCTTGTTCATATGAATATCAATTATCGAAATAATATTAATAGTTATTTATCACTTATAAGTCATATGTTTTGTGTTGCTGATATTTGAACCGATTCACGTTTGTCTTCTTGCACAGTAACATGTGTATTAGTTCCTTTGACATGTATTATTAATTAAGCAAACATTTAAGAACGTTTTATAAATTATTTACTTTATATAGTTATGAAATGAACCCGTTTTCAAACTATAAATATAAACATGGGTGTAAGGCCATATAAAATAAATTCCTTGATTCTCATCACCGCCCGACGATATTTTGGTTTCCGCGTTGATATATTTTTGTATTTTGTTATAAAATATAAATTTACCGCCCGACCGAGCATCTTCAGAGATTTAGTTATTTTTATATTTTATATTGGAATTTTTGCGATATAAAATTGTTTTGCCGTTAATATTGCAACATGTTAAGGGATATGCTTGGAATACTGAAGGAAAAAATGGGCTTATAGCCTTATTACAACGATTTGTGTGGCCCTTATGCATGTGCATTAGCGCATGTGTAATTATCCACTTATATAGCGTTCTTCTATAATATATTTAAGGGCAAATATAAAAAGACCTCCCTCTCCAATTTTTTAAATTTTAAACTTTGTTTTTATATTTTGACATAAAATATAAAATATAAACCTCCCGCCTCCTGGGAGTTTTTAAAATTTAGCGATGAGAATCAAGGAATTTATTTTATATGGCCTAAACTAGCTATATATATTTAATACAAACTTAAATCTTATGTGATTTGACAACAATCTTTTCTTATTTTAATTTTGTATGGTAAAATATTTCAGTGGGGTAAATATTTAGCTAGTGGGCAAAACATATTTTCAAATACAGTAAACATACTTTTATTGTAATAATTTTCTTGATATATGAGTAATTACTGTAATTGTGACATAATTTATTGAATATTATTCTTCAAACGGTAAATAGATCTATTTTTAAATAAAGTTAATATGACAAAACTTATAGCAAAGCCTTTAGGTTGTTAACGGTGAATTCAAATCCAACAATCTTTAATTGAAGTTTTAGTCCAACCATAACTCATAACAATCTAGAAAGCGAAATGTTATCTCTCTCGGATGAGCAATGTAATATCTTGAACGCGGCAGTAAACGGGCACAATGTTTTTATAACAGGGCAAGGTGGTACTGGCAAATCGTTTCTCGCTAAAGAAATATATAAACAGCTCACGTTAGGTGGGAAGAAAGTGGCAATAGTATGCTCAACAGGCATTGCATGCAAGGCGTATAAAAACATTACAAACTCGGCAGTTCGCACGGTACATTCATTTTATGGCTTGGGTATTGCCGATTTACCATGGCCTTCTGTCGTAGATCGATCTCTATCAAATAATTTGGTACGTGAACGAGTGCAGTCACATGATTGTATTATATGGGATGAAATTGGCATGGTTAGCCGACGTGTTTTTGAAATAGCCAACATGATTCACCATAAACTATCGAAAGAATGTGATGCAATGAAACCAATGGGTGGAAAACAAGTGATTATAGCAGGCGTTTTCTTCAACTTCCACCCGTCCATAACATGTTCGATCCAGGTGCATTTGCATTTTATTCCCCAGTTTTTTCGAAAGCTATTTTGCATCGAGTTGAATTGGAAACAATTTGGCGTCAGGAAAAGACAGAAACGGAATTTCTTCTATGCTTAAAGGAGTTACGAATTGGGCAGTGCGGTGAAAAATCAACGAATTTCCTCCATGGCTTGTCAAGGGAACTACCAACTTCCATTAGCAAAGATGCGGTTCATATTTTCTTTAGAAGGCTTCAGATGCAAGTTCACAATAAGAACATGCTTTTTTCTCTCCCCGAGAAAAATCTTTTTAAATTTGATGCCATTGACACAAGTCATCACTCACGATATGCAACCAATTTGGATTATCAAGCCGATAAAACCCTTCTACTCAAGCTGGGCTGTCGAGTCATGTTATTGTGGAATGTGTCAGAAGCATTAAGGAATGGAGTAACTGGTGTTTTTGTCGGAACTGACGGAGATAATCTCGCTGTTGATTTCGACGTAGTTGGTAGGATATCCTTGAAAAGAGAAACCTGGGAGAAGAGATCACGATCCGGAGCAGTAGTTGCTTCTCGACGCCAATTTCCAGTCACTCTGGCGTATGGTATAACTTGCCATAAGTCGCAGAGTTCAACTGTATCAGCTGCAGTTGTGCACTGTTCGAAAGAGTTCACTCCTGGGCTTATTTACGTTGCATGTTCACGAGTTAAGACGTCAGCACATCTGCAAGTCTTACATTTTTCACCCGATCAGTTAATGAAACCTTCACAAGATTGTTTGGATGTGTGTGCTTCACACAAATCCATGGCTACTTCGGCTGATAAATGCTGTGTCCAAAGTGAATTGACCGATAACGAACTTGTTGTAAATGAACAATTAGCAGAAGTTGATGAAACAGGAGCAGATGACGAAGAACATCAAGAAATTGATGATGTAACTCAGAAGCTTGTGAATGGGTATTTTGACCGAAAAGAAGAGCCTGATGAAGAAGAAAATTTTGACCTGATGATATAGCTATGTCACTGATGTCGGAAGGTGGTCATGTGCTCTCAACCCCGCCGGAGTCCTTTGATATCAAGAAAATCCTTAAAGAGATGAAAGTCCCACTGTCAGTTGCTGAGAGATCTACTGGATCCGCAAAGAGCAAGAACGAAACAATTGATAGCCTTTTACAAGATAATGATCAGGTCGAACTGTTTGGCAGTGTTCTATGGTCTCAATGTTTTCAAATCGTAACAAAAGATTCTTCAAATTCATCTGAAAGTATGGACATTTCATCAAGGCAATGGTACGAGAAGTCGCGAATGTTGTATCTTCTCATAACAAGATCCAGCGAGTATCTGAGAAATCTGCAACTGATTTTTGGCACGGAATCATTAACGCAAGGGCAAAGTGCTATTGGAGCTGAACTTACACAAAAGGTGTATAATGCGTTTGTTCAGGCTTCAGCAAGATTTAAACAGCAACATGTCCCACATATGGTTCCAATAGATGTAAGAAATATGCCATCAGAAGGTCTTGCAAAAATTCGTCATGTTGGTGCTTGGGCCATCAAGAAAGTTCTTTCAAATCAAAGAAAGTATGTCAAAGACAACTTGGGCACCGTAGTGCCAAGTACACTTAAGTCTGTCAATGATCGTTTAGAAATGTGCTGTCTGATAGAGGACAATTTAATTGCTGATTACGCGAAACTAAAGGAAACAACGTCTTATTCTGAAACATTAGAAGTAACTGAAGATAGGCAGTATAGAAATCGCGGATTGTCCCATATCAAAGACCAAGTATATGAGTTTATCATAGAACTCGAGGTTTCGAGAGTTCGGAACATCAACGATACCAAATTGAAAGAACTGAAAGCGAACCTCGTCGATCAAGCAATTACAACGCTGTCTGACCGTGAAGAATTGCAAGAGAAGTGGATGTCATGTTTTTCATTGAAAACAATTGATGAAAAAAAGGTAGGTATCTAAATTTTATCAAATTTTAATTGGCGCATTACAAAAGAGCTAATGCTGCAAAATCTAACCCTAAAAATGCAGGAAATTGCATTTGCGGGACTCCAGATTTCAATATAAGAAATATTGACCAGACTTACATATAAGAAATTCTATATCGCCCCTATATAGAAGTAAAATAGTAAATAAAGAGAACATGCCCCCAAATCCCCAATATTTCGTGAAAGGTTGTGGTCCTTTTGTCTCCTGTGGCGTTATATCAATGTCTTATTTATTTTGGTACATAAAACTTTGCCATGTATCGGCGTTTCAAAATATGTATTGAAAAGGCAAAAGCATATTAGAGAATAATATATCAATAGTAATTAGTATCATATGTATTTTCATTGTATTTTTTAAGAGTATCATCAAGATTATGATGATGGTGATAGAGAAATATGTTCGAATGGGTGCTGGCCAGTACTTCAAAGATTTCGTCAGAGCGCACAGGTAATAATACAAATAGGTATATATTTATAGTATAATTTCAGTATTAAAAAATGAGCATTCTGATTGGCTCCCTCATGCAGTAGTAAATCTGAGGCAATAGTTACTGCTTCATACCGCTATAAGCAGTAATTATTGCTTTTAAAAAAAATGGATGAAAATTAGACGGAAGTAGGCCTAACTTATTTGTGCAAACATGCATAATAATAAAATAAACGCGTGTATAATAGGTGTATTTATAAATTTGTGATTATTAACATTTTTCAATACTGGAATTATATTTAAACAATTAGTCGCCTCAGGCTCGATGATTACAAGCTTATTTCACTTCTCCTTCGGCTCAGTCAATATATAGGTTTGTAATCATCTCGCATTCGGTGACAACGATATATGCATGATTTGTTCGCATGGGTATCATTGTACTCTCATCTACTAGCCTTCGCTCTTAAAAGTGTTTTAGAGTGTATAATTTTTCATTTATGCTCAAAAAGAATAGAGAAAACGTCAGAACACAGAAAAAAGGTGCTGCAGAAGAAAAATGCTTTGGAAGAGAAGAAGGCATCTATCCCCTTTTCACAGATAAAGGAAGATGATAGTCCTGAAAAGATAAGGTCACACCAACAGCTCCAAGATTTTGTACGAAAATATGATGAACCCGCGTTTGTTAAAGCCTATAACAAGAAAGAATTGCTAGTGTTGTGCCGTGCTTATGGTGTTGGCTCAATTAATTCGAAAACAACGAAGGTGAACATGGTTAAAAAACTAATTCCTGAGATCCAATCACATGCACAAATTCCAAATCGAAGATTTTTAGATAATATGTAATGTTTAATTGAATTACTGATTTACTACGTGCATGCATGGTGTTAGTAGCTATATGTCTACAAGGTCCAGATATAATTAATTGACATTATATAATTTTGTTAACAGTTCAACTTAATTCTGGTTATGTATTTTTAATACATCGAATGTAATGATTAATAGTATACGTGCACAACGACACTTTCGTTATATTGGATTATTGGTATCAAATATATTTTAAGCTTAGTCAAATATATTTTAAAGCATTAGTTAAGGATTGACCAAAAATAACACAATATATGTAGTGATTAGCCAATAAAGTAAATTAGAAGCATTAAAAATTTAACAGAAATTGATATCATACATACATATACATATACACATATACACATATACACATATACACATATACACATATACACATATATATATATATATATATATATATATATATATATATATATATATATATATATATATATATATATATATATATATATATATGTCATGTATATATGTATATATGTATATATGTATGTATGATATCTAATTTCTGTTAAATTTTTAATGCTTCTAATTTACTTTATTGGCTAATCACTACATATATTGTGTTATTTTTGGTCAATCCTTAACTAATGCTTTAAAATATATTTGACTAAGCTTAATATATATGTATATATGTATGTATGATATCAATTTCTGTTAAATTTTTAATGCTTCTAATTTACTTTATTGGCTAATCACTACATATATTGTGTTATTTTTGGTCAATCCTTAACTAATGCTTTAAAATATATTTGACTAAGCTTAAAATATATTTGATACCAATAATCCAATATAACGAATATATATATATATATATATATATATATATATATATATATATATATATATATATATATATATATATATATATATATATATATATATATATAAAGCTTTAAAGCTTTTTATACAAAGCCACTCATTATTATATAACTATGATAATTATAGGTTCTAACGACTAGATCCAGCATTACTTTTTCGACAAATCGTTGTTTGCCCATACCGATATATATATATATATATATAAAGCTTTAAAGCTTTTTATACAAAGCCACTCATTATTATATAACTATGATAATTATAGGTTCTAACGACTAGATCCAGCATTACTTTTTCGACAAATCGTTGTTTGCCCATACCGAATTGAATTTTGTGCTGACTCTTGTAAGCGCCAAGTAGGGTTATTGTTTTGTCCGTTACATGCTCGCACTTGACAAAAATGGTTCTCTACAACATCTTGGTTGATTATAGCTGGCTTTATAATTGAGTGTGGATACGCTTCGAGTTTAATTTTTACTAAAGAATCAAAACCCAATACCATAGACTGGATGTCAAACCATAATTTATATGAAATAAACTCGTTTGATTGTATTGATCCTTTATCTGAAAGTGCCAAATTATCTTTCCATGACTGCATAAACGTCAAGAATTGCTTCAGCTCCTTTATTCGTTTATCACTTGCACTTGTGATTACAAGTTTATCTTGAAATAAACTGATCGCATTAGCAGTATGCATCAAAAGATTGATTGTAGAATCAAGAGAACTTCCATCTTGACCTTTGTTGTCAAGATATTTCTTGTACGCCTATATAGAGTAAATATATTGATTATATTAAGTAAAAAGGTACAAAATATATATAAATAATCAATTTTTTGAATTTAATAGCATGCTATATGACAATACAACTTATTTTACCTTCATCAGAGAAAACATTCTCTTGTCCAGAACATCTTCAGCTAAATGATTTCTCATTTTTGAAGATGCGTCTAGGTTGAAGTGTTCTTCTGTGAGTTTCTCGTGGAATGACAACGAAAACTCGCGTTGGTCGTAATTGTATGCATCCACAAATTGATTCCACAATATGAGTTTTCCATTGACGGTTAAACATCTTGGTGTTGTAGTCGCCAAAGAACTTTTAAGAATGTTGTTACGGACCTTTTTAAAATTGTGCTACAAAGTATAAAGGTGAAAATATTTTTTAAATGTTCACTTGTTTTTGGAATTTCTCATGCTTGACTGCGTGATATATTGGGCCAAATACAAAAAAAGTTGAATATGACTGGTTGTCTTCATGCATCTCAATGAGGGTTACTGCGCAAATTATGTACTATTTAAAACACGAGTAGGAGTGTTTTATCAGATATAAAACGCGAGGCGCAGCCGAGCGTTTTATATCTGATAAAACACTCCTACTCGTGTTTTGAATAGCTTAAAATACGACTACAAAAAAATACTAATTAGGATGAACAATTATATAATCATATACTAATTAAGATGAACAATTATATAAAGAATGCTAATGAGATGAGTTTTATCATATATAAAGTCACTCCACGTGACATACTGTGGCTGACATGATTTACCACAAGGTTTATAAATTATTAATGAGTATTTTAACACCTTATACAAGTAACCCGGACCCAATTGAGATGCTTGACAACGTTGTTTGCGATAACAAGCTATAAATTTAGTTCAAACCTTGGGATCCATAATAAAGACCATTGGGCAGCCATGCAGTATATATGTTGTGTGCAATAAAGTGATTGGTAACAGCTTCTTCTTCACTTTTAAAATGAATTTTAATAAATTGTCGGTTGATATCAGCACCATCAAGAATACACCAGTAGATACTATGGTAAGGAAAAAAAACAACTATCAAAACTAAAATTTTATTGGAGGAAATAAAATTGACTTTTTATTCAATATTTAACTGACAGAATAAATTATAACCACTTACGGAAATCCTATTTCCCCCATCATTCGAACTCCATCCCAAAAGATGTGAAAGAGAGAACTTGCGGTCCATCCGCCAGATGGAAATTGGGTGACTGGAAATCTAAATCCATTGTCTCCAAGAAAAATAAACTGCAGGACATGAGAGGCCAATTTCGGTACTTCACCATCTTTACCTACATAAAATGTGTACTTAATATATTATATTGTAAATAACCACGTTCGCCGGAAATTTTAGCAAATATTTAAATATATAATTATACTGTATGTTGGTTTTGTAAGGAAAAATAATTTATGCGTGTATATAATTAATATATAAAAATTAGAATTTCAATTTAAGATGGAGACTGAAATGTTTAGTTTTCTATATAATCAGCTATTGATTAGCGTAGCAACTATAAATCTCATAAATAAATTTATTATATAGAATTAGAGTTCGTTTGTTCACGATGAAATATCAGACATGTTTTTACTCGCTACTCTTCATGTAGTTTCAATTACATGCAATTTAAGGAGATTCCAATCGAATTGCATTTGCAAATATGAGTCGCTAGCTAACGCATTTCACCTTGGTATTGTATTAATTTTAAATTAAACCAGAGTAGCGAGCGAAACATCTCCAATTTCATATCAAAAACCTAACCTGAAATTTTGGTCATGTTATCGTGAATTTCTCCAAGGTCTGCGATCCCAACCAATGTATGCTTACCATTTTTGACAACCATTTCAATGTTTTCCTAGTCCAGAAAATAGCAATATTAAACATTTCAGTCTCAATTAATGTTGTCAGGACCGTTGCGACTGGGGAATGTGGGAGTGTGCCCCCACTTCACACACACCAAAAACAAGGTTCGGGCAATTACGGCAAGTGAAGGATTCGTCGGCAAATTGACCAAAAAACGATTAGCTAAAGCAATCTTGTTCAGTTTGTTATTCAGAAAGTCAATAAATCCACGAGAAAACAACTTTTGATATGTTATGTTCGGTTTTCTGGCCATCAGAAATCCGCGTTAAATCTTCCCCCAATTCCTGGACTTTGGGGTCCCCAAAGTCCAGGAAATGACATTTTAGAGACTCTACTAGATTAAACATTTTTCGGAAGAACATACCGCCGGACTCCTCTATACATTAATTATTGCGCTTATACGATTTGTTCAAAGATACTCACATTTATCGCGTACAGCGGAAATCGCCTCGAACTAGATAATATATATTCTTAATTTTAGTGTTTTAAATATTACCTGGATTTTCATTTCATCTAATATCAAACCACCCCAATAATCTTGCTCCTGTAAATTGTTCTTTTTAGCTTAATCTAGACACCAAAGCAACATATCCCAGTCCCATCCAGGTTTTTGTTTGACTTTGTTTTTATAAAACCTATTACAAAAAATATTAACATTAATATATAATATATGAATATGAAAAAAAGAACTGAAAGCCAAATATTCACTTCAGTTTGTGAATACCAATTTCACGATGATAGTAGTATACATGACAGTAGCGGCAATATTGAGGGGGGCGAATTTAGGTTGCCAACATATCACTAATTCTATTACTGAATTAAGTCTTAGACATAGTAATTTAGACTTTTTTTGCTTTGAATATATAGTTTAATTTCTGCCTACCAACGTTTTAATGGTTAAAAAGTATAGTTACAGGCACTTTGTTACGCAGTCACCGCTTGCATGCTATTGGGGTGGGGAAGGGGGATTTTCTCATATATCCGTTAGTGCATGCATGTCCGCCACTGCTATATAAAGTCAGTGGCATGGTAGATAATTGTCACATGTATTACAATTCTAATAAATAATAATATAAATCCTTTATAATGAATACGGTGGTTTTAATAAATCAATCTTCAAAAAAAAAACCGTTATGATATATTATATATAGGTTACCTTATTGTGCGATTGCTTGGTAGGATCAACACTTTTCTGAGAGGGTCCAAAACATGAGGGTTCTTGCAATACAGTTCCACACAAAGGTTTATTATTCTATTAAAGTGATATACACAATATATTTATGTTTGCATATGTTATGTTTGCATATATAATAGATACAAGGCAAAGCCGAGTGTTTCAATTCTAGATTGTTATCATGCAGCAATAATAATCAAACATGAAATTTTGAGCGACTTTTCATCAGACATCAGATATATAAAAGAGGAACACATTTAAAAAAATAATTTTTTAACGAATTTTATGGACCTTGCCGTTTTGAAAACGAATGACATAAGAATTTGAATACAATGCATAAGTTTCTAAAAACATGCTCCTTTTTTACATAGACTCATAGAAAAACGATCATTAATTGCACTCCTAACCGTGCGATAACATACACTTATCAATGTGGTAAGCACTAATACCTGGGATGCCATCTATATCCTCTACTTGAATCTGTACCCAAAAGTTGCTGCTGTTGGTCCCACAAAACAGCCATATCTTCAGGGATATCTTTAGAATTAGCCTGCTTGAACAACTCAATCAGGTCCTGGTGATCATCCTTTGACATTTCTATCAACTCTCGTTCAGCGTTGATCATTTCTTGTTGAATCCTTGCAGCTTTCTGCATATCAAGCTTTTTTACAATTTCTCCCTGGGTCATGTATCGATGGTTGAAGTGTGAATGTATGTTAATATTTTCTTCTCTTTCTGTTAACCTTGTTTTGGCATGCGCGACACATCTTTTTAAATTTTTACATGACGAACAGATTTTCCAGGAACATTTGTAAACATCTTGCATTTAGTGGAGTAAATTTTACATTCTTCAGAAGCAGTTATATCCACAAGATTTTTGACAACATAACGGTTGTGCTGGATGTTGAAGTTTTCTATGCCGTCATCGTCAAATCCCATGCACAACGGTGATTTAGAAAGCAATGAAATAACGAAACGAACTTTTTCCATAATGGGCATATCTGCAGTTTTATTTTCAATATCGCTAATATCGATATATTCCGCGTGACGTTTTACTTTCAAATCGATTTTGGTGTGCTGATCAATTTTCGAAAATACTATTTCAGTGAGGACTCTCTGACCATTGAAACTCAAGTTCTCGTGCTTGATGCAACTTAGGGAAAACCCCTCAATGTTTATGCTCACATGCCAGTTGTACTCGGCCGCAACAGACGAGATCGTTGTCGTTAACTGCTGCCATTCTTCGTCAACAGTTAAGCATTCCCTCATTTCAACTGGCATCGTTTGTTTTCTTTCTAAGTGAATGTAGCCCCATGCACGTCTAGGTTTTGCAAACGAAGGGTCCACTTGGCTTGATTTTTTTGCTTTAACAATACAAACCTTGCTGGACATAAATAATTCACTAATTGTTTGGCATACGATCTTGCGTGTAATCAAGTCTTCTTTATCAACTAAAATGTTCTCACTATCAGCCAATGCATGATTTAAAATATCGTCACGAAAACAAAATGCATCAAGATCATTAGATGGACGATAATTCAGGAGAACCCTATAATAAACGCAATGCGAATTTATTAATATTATGCATATTAATAACGTACTGCAGTTTAATATAATCGACTGCAGTAGACTTTATAATATATCAAAGTGTTATTGTATATAAAATAACAATCTTATACCATGTTTTTAACGACACATAAAACGACTCAGAAGAACCATCGAATTTATTAATATTATGCATATTAATAACGTACTGCAGTTTAATATAATCGACTGCAGTAGACTTTATAATATATCAAAGTGTTATTGTATATAAAATAACAATCTTATATCATGTTTTTAACGACACATAAAACGACTCAGAAGAACCATATCGCTTACGCTTTTTATTCACTGGCTCACGATCCAAAACGTTAGAATTTAATGTAGATAACATTTTACTGTAAATAAATATTGATTCGCACTGGTTTTCCCCACAGTATAGGGATTGTGGTTTTCCCCCGACAACGTTTGTTTTGATTAAAATTCTTACTGTCCCCCCTCCCAGTGGAGAAAGATTTTAAATTTTTGTTCATATTCGTTGTCCAATCAGGTTTGAGTGTATTTTGAGTTGTTCAACGACTTCCGCTTTTTGTCCAGCAAACCCGGCACGCGGATATATTTTGGCCGAATTTTGTCGTTCCCTCACGAAGTTTAGAGCGAATTTAAGCTCTTTGATTAAAGCATCGTTGTTTTGAGAGTTATACGGTATCATTCTTGCAGGGGATATCGACTAATCGTGAAAGAAATGCATTTAAAGGTGAAAAATCGAGGATAGTTTCGTGTGACATATGCCAGTCTGGGCTATTTTGGTCTCAATGTCTCCTTCCTTTCCTCGTTATAAGGAAGGCACAGGCGGGCGCGGGCAAATCGAGCCTGGGCCTCCTGTGATCTGATTGACTAAATTCAGGAAGCCATTTAAGTGTACGCGTATTTGTTACAATTCCGATCAACTCTGCCCTGCAGCACGGCAGAGCCAGAGTAAATTGTAAACAAATTGTAAGCTTGTGAGAATCAGAGTTCAAAACTCAAAAATATTTACTGGGTACATGTAAAACAAAGACCTAAAATCTAAATTCTCAAAAGTAGCTTTAATACTGTCAAATTTTCCGAAGTCTGATTTAGTTGTTTCAAAAGTATAGAATACACACACACTTCTGTATGGATTTCGTACATGTTCTGCATGTCTTACAGTAAAAATACAAAAATTGTCCCACTTCCGCTGTTTGTTGTGATTTTAATACTGTAATTTGTTCTGTTTTTCTGTAGCGATTACCGATTTATCGGCAAATACCGCGATTTGAAAACTTACTTTTCTTTATTTATTTCATTCTACAGCATTTATAGTTCTACAGCTATCTTATACAGTTCTATAATATAATAGTGAATGATTCCGAATATTCAAAACGAATTGAAAGAATGAAAGCAGTAATGATGTACTGTATAACGGTTTAAACTTAGCCGGCCGTACAGCTCACTGCCACCGGTCACGTACTGAGCCGAAGGATAAACCGAAAATTCACTTTTCTCATCACAAGATTTAATGTTCAGTCGATCCGCTACATTGAAAGATGAGTATACTTGGCTATTTTTTGGCAGGGGTAACGAAATATATCGGCTGTTCTCTACAGTAAGTGTTTCTTTATGTGTTGCCCATCGGAATATAATATAACTACATACATAAGCTTGATAGATGTAAGATAACGAGTTTCACAATCCCATTTTAAATACTATGGCTTTTGGCAGCCTGGTTTTGCATCATATGTGTTTTTCAGTAAAAGCCCCACTTTCCTACTTCCCCAACGTGTAATACGCGAAAAAACTTTGTTAATAATAACAAAAAATTGTAATAGTAAACAGTGTATTTTATTATAAAGGATTTTCGTTTTTCTACTGCTCCGTACTTCGTGTGCTCCGTGCTCCGTGTGCTCCGTGCTCCGTGTTTTACTAATAGCCTTTGGAAAGGCCAGTGGAAAGTATTCTGAAGCAAATTTCCACACTGGAAGAGGAACAGGGAGTTACCAAGAAAGTATCTGCAGCAATGGAGATGCCTGTGTACAAGAGTAAAGAGCATGGTGACTTAGAGGACATTGTTCGGAGAACAGTCGAGCAGAAGGTCGAGGAAATGTTCAAGAAGGATGCAGTTGTGAAGAAAGGAGGTAAGCGTATGGGAGGAAGTGTAAGACCTGGACCCAAACCTACTGATATCTGTCGGGCTTGTAAAGGACAAGGACACTGGGCCCGAAACTGCCCATCTTTAAACGAGAACGAGGCTGGCCCAGGGCCCCGACACCGGCCCCGACACCAGCCTTAGGTAACCAGAGAAGGGTCATCATATATCCTTATCGAAGTCCAGTAGAACAAACGAAAGTCAACACAGTACAAGAGGTAAATAGTTACAAAGGTTATCATGTTAGAGCTACTGTAAACAATGTGGAGACAAACTTTCTCATAGATACTGGTGCAGAAGTAAGTTTGATTTCTGCAGATGTACCAGGTTTAATTATTAAAGAATCTCAAGTGCATCCAGTTTCAATAACTTATCAGCCAATTGTTGTTAAGGGTGAAACTGAGGTATCGTTAAATTTAGGGAGTTTAAATACCACTTGGAAGTTTCTTGTTGTTGAAAACATGACGGAATCTGTTCTCGGGGCAGACTTAATAGCTGAACACCACAAGCGCTCGTGGGGGTTCAAGAACAATAAACTTTGGTTTGACGATATAGCTATTCCCTTAATTGATACCCAACAAGTTCGAATCGTAAAGGGAGATAATTCTTGCCCAGTAATTGCAAAATGCACTGTAGAATTTCCGGCCAGACACCAACTAGTAATTCCAATGCGAACTAAGGATAGGACCAGCCGAGATGGAATATTTAAATCCTGTAAGACACCTGGTGGGGTATTGCTAACAAAAACTGTTGTACAACCAAGTAAAGACGGTAGTTTTTTGGTTAAGGTGAACTTTCAAAATGTTACATTATTCAAAAATAAAAAAATTGGGAAACTATCAGATATTGAAGAGGTTTTGAACACTGCGCACGACTACCAGATTCAGCATGATGAGCATCCAGTTGTCTCTCCCATCCAGACTGAGAATATTGATTTTTTGCATGATATTGGTATAGAATTAAACCAGAGTGATCTAAAGAGGCATGAAAGGGAACAACTTGAGAAGCTTCTCTTTTCCTACTCAAATGTGTTCTCCAAAAACAAACGAGATTTAGGGACATGTAAGTTAGGGACAAAACATCACATACACCTAAAACCAGATACTGTGCCAGTCAAACAACCGTTACGCCGAATTCCATTTGCTTATCAGGAAGAGGTCAAAAATGATTTGAAAAACATGCTAAAGGATGGAATAATAGAGAAATCGGTTTCTGAATGGGCAAGCCCCCTAGTCCTAGTTAGGAAGTCATCAGGAGACCTGCGGATATGTGTTGACTATCGGAAATTAAATGAGGCCACAATGTTAACAAGTTACCCATTGCCTAACTTAACTGAAACACTTGATCGTTTGGCTGGAGCATCTTATTTCACATCGATTGATATGGTATCCGGATACCATCAGGTTGAAGTGGCCGATGAAGATAAAGAGAAAACTGCATTTGTATCCCCATATGGACTATTTCAGTACTGTAGGATGCCCTATGGGTTGGCAGGGGCACCGGCAACCTTTCAATCCGTTTCGAGGACATGGTCCAAGTATTAGAGACTGAGGATATCATGGCCAACCTTGATGATGTTATTTGTTTTCACGCCACCTTTGGCAAGCATTTGGAAGGAATTCAGAAATTGCTTGAGATGGTAAGCAGAGCCGGTTTTAAACTATCTGGGAAGAAATGCCAATTTGCTAAACTTTCTGTAAGATTCCTGGGTCACATTATCGACAATACTGGTGTTAGACCGCTACCTGAGAAACTAGATATTATCAGGAATTGGAAGGCTCCTGAGAGTGAGGATGAATTGCGGCGATTTCTTGGAGTGTGCACGTTTTGGAGAAGATTTGTGAAAGATTTTGCCAAAATAGCCGTTCCACTTCACAATCTTTTAAATAAAGAGGAAAATTTATGGACGAATGAATGTCAGGATGCGTTTAACCTGTTGAAAGAATCGTTGTGTTCTTCGGTAACGTTGAAACTTCGGTTCTCTGTGACATGTGATGCATCATATTTTGCGGTGGGTTACTACCTTGAACAGGCTGATAAATCTGGCCAAAAGCGCCCACCAGAAATGAACTACTCCACTACGGAGAAAGAATGTTTGGCAGTTATTGAAGCACTGAAGGCATATCGTTCGTACCTGTTGGGGAACCAGTTTGATTTATACACGGACCATCAATCTCTAAAATGGCTGCTAACTCGAACGAAAGAGCATAGTGGTCGCCTATGGCGATGGGTGGATAAAATCCGTGAGTTTCAGTATTTGGTTAAGCATATTCCAGGACGGAATAACACAGTGGCGGATGCCTTGAGCAGAATTCGAAATGTGGCAACTCGAGAACCAACACCATGGAACTTAGAGTACATTCGTCAGCAACAAGAATCCTGTTCGAAGATAAGCCAACTAAAATCCGTGTTACAATCAGAATTACAACAAATAAACACCATGGGCATGGAGTTAAAGGCATTTGAGGACGAACTACCCAACTTATTTTTACGGAAGGATGGGGTGTTGTGTCATTATGACAGTGATAGAAACACCAGAATAGTGATTCCTCGTTGTCTCATTCCGAGAGTACTACACATGATGCATAATGATATGGGACATTTCGGATTCAAGAAGACCTTTCAAAGGATCAAAGATAAGTATTTCTGGCCACAAATGTCATCTGAAATTGAAGATTGGTGCAGAAAGTGCGAAGTGTGTCAACGTAGAAGGAATCCGGTACCTTCCCAAAGAGCTCCACTTCAATCAATTTCTACATGCCGCCCGGGCGAACTGGTTACAATGGATATTGTTGAGTATGCACAAAGTTATCGTGGATACCGTTATTGTTTAGTGATGATTGACCACTTTACAAAGTGGTTAGAATTATTTCCATTAAGAAATCAGAAGGCGGAAACAATCGCGAAGAAAGTGTTTGATGGTTGGATCCCTCGGCATGGAGCACCCGAACAACTCCACCACGACCAAGGGAAGAACCTGACAGCTGAAATAATCCGTGAGGTATGCTCGTTCCTAGAAATCTGGAATACACGGACAACACCTTTCCACCCACAGTCAGATGGGGCGTCAGAGAGGAGCATCCGAACCGTTAATAACATGCTAGCCAAGGTTGTTGCTGAGGACCAACGGAATTGGGATTTGTATGTGTCATCTACTTGTTTCGCATACAATACAGCAGTTCACAGTACCACTGGTTATACGCCTAGTTATCTCGAATATGGCAGGGAACTCCGTCTACCAAGTGATCTTGTTATGAATGATCAACAAACCCCAAAGAATAACTCTCACACCGAGTATGCAACAGAATTGAAGAAAAGGCTTGCTAAGGCGTTCGAATGCAGCAGGGAAACGCTCGAGTCATCTCGTAGAACACAGAAACATTATTACGACAGGAGGGCGAGAGGAAACGTTTATAAAGAAGGTGATTTGGTCATGTGGAAGGATCAGAAAACCCGAAACGGAAGGTGTATGAAGCTGAACAAACCATGAACGGGCCCATGGAAGATTATTAAACGCCTAGGGGAAGTTGTGTACAGAATAAAGTACATAGGCTCTAACAAGGTTGGGTTGAAGCGAATGATTGTCCATCACAATCAGTTGAAGAGATTCTACGAAACCAGAGGATCGCAAGAGGAACCTGCACAATCAGAACAAAATTCTGGACAACTCGTAGCCAATGATGGTGATACAGTTGAAAGCAGGAGCGATGTTGTCATTGTTGTCGACGGACCAGGTGCAGATGACGAACACGAGATACAACAACGAGAAGTCGAACCTGTGGTTTTGGAACCTGAAGGAAGACCTCAACGACAACGTAGACCACCTGCCTGGCTTGTTCCGTGTGAAATTAACATTTAACCTGTGGGACACAGTTTAGTTTTGGGAGAGGGTAGAGTAAGGACTGGGAACTAATGACGTAATGACTGGGACATGCGCACTAGGACGTAGTTGTGTTGGCGCTTTGTGTGCAATTCCAAAAGATATGTTTTTGCTGTTTTTATTTTGTTCTCAATAAATATATAACGATTTATTGCGTGAGTTTATACACTATTATAAAGTTCAGAATATAAAACTTTAAAACTTGCTGAATATCTACGCGAATACAATTTTTAATTTCTTATGTATACCTGAGTTTTTGACGTTTCCTCTTTAAAATATTTGAGCATGTATCCTTTGGACGCTCTTCCGATCTAACATACGTCTTGAAAATCTTTGGTTAAATCAAATCTTCTGTACGAAATTACAACTTACAACAGCTCGCGAACGCCATATTGTTTCAGAGCGTGGTGTCCACGCATAACGCGTGATAATATCACTGTGATAATATCCCACGGTGGATCTGCCGAGGGATATTATACTATCTCATGCTGCATTGCGAAATCATGAATTTGAGTGAAATACCATAAAAAATGACATTATCACGTGGTACAAACGCTGTTTTTTCATTGGACAATTTGAATTTTAGGTATAATATTCTATTATATTTATTTGAAGGGCTTAGGGAAGGTTACAATTTCGTTCTACATTTATTTACAGTGGAATATAAGAAATCCCAAAATACGATTAAATTTGCCAAAGCCACGAACGAATTACCTAAACCAAAGCTTTTGCTATAGTGGGGCAGTTCTTTGGAATAGTCATCCCCAAGATATAAGAAAACTACAATCATTAATTTGCCCAATTTAGGAAAGCAATAGCGGAATATTATTAATAGTAACTAGTAATTTACCTGACTTCCACACGGCAATATTGTGAACCAGTTCATGGTATTTTTATATTTATTTAATTTATCATACTTACCATCTGTAAACTGAAGATTTGAATTTGAGGTATAATATTCTATTATATTTATTTGAAGGGCTTAGGGAAGGTTACAATTTTGTTCTACATTTATATACAGTGGAATATAAGAAATCCCGAAATACGATTAAATTTGCCAAAGTACTTACCATCTGTAAACTGAAGATTTTACCGTGTTTAAATAAAATTGTATTGTATTGTATTGTATTGAATAGTAATGTGTAAGCACTCACGTGAATGGACCTTGGCTACGTGTTAGCCTTTTAGTAAGTAAAACGGGGATTATAAGTCAATATAAAAGTATAAAAATGTCAGAAAGTGAATGGCATGTAATAGCCCCGCCTAATAATATTTTAATTCAATGGCAGTGTTAGGGCAGTCAATATATACAGAAGCACCAAAACTAAAGCGCTTTTTTGACAATATTTCCAAAAGTTTCACGCGAAAGACGGGGAATATGCACCCTTCTATCATACATACGTACTGAATGCTGATTAAAAAATTCCATTGCTAAAAATTCGAACGGGTGAAAACATATTCATTTCACAGATCTAAGGCTGGTATACTTTAATTTAGGGTATTATAATTAGTTGCGGTAGTAATCATGTGTTTATAAAATGCTCCGCCGTCCGCCTTTTATCTACACCCCCCAGCGGGTTGTAGTATGCTGAGGCATCTTCATAATTCCCTATAAAAATGTTTTCCATATACATTTACTTTGGCACGATTTTAACCCATAATTAATATACGGAAAAATTAAACTATAGTAAACCTGCTTTAGCATATTCAAATCAATACAGTACCTATTAAGTTTACTAATTATTCCTGTGTTTTTTACTATTTTATTGTAGACATGACTAATTTGATCGATATAGATACCTAAATATTTGATATAACTTTTCTGTTCAAAATTTCCAATTTTTATGCGGTGTGTTTTTTTTCTACAGGAAGTGATTACCATGAAATTAGTTATATTAATATTTATTGATAGTTTAGTCACATTACAGTATTGAAGTATGTTTTGTAATTCTTCATTCATTACTCTTTCAATATATCATCAATGCTATACTAGAATAAAATACATTGGTATCATCCGCAAATATTCGAAATGAGAGTTTTTTTGAACAGTTTGGCATATCATTTATATATAATATAAAAAGTAGTGGCCCAAGTCTTGAACCTTGTGGTACTCCACAAGTCAATCTTAATAAATCTGATTCAGTATTTCCTATTTTAACATATTGTTGTCTATTAGATAAATAATCAGTAAACCATGCTAGAGGAGTTCCACGTATTCCATATTTGCGTAGTTTATCAATTAAGATTTGATGATTGACAGTGTCGAACCGAGGTCTTGCTGTATTGACCGAACGATAGCGAGGTCAATACGACAAGACCGAGGTTTGATATTTTCACGTACAACTCGAATGGTCGAGGTCAGTAAGTTTGTTATCATATATATGCATGGCATTGTACGTTTGTAAAACAATTATAACGCGAGTTTGAATATCCTTTCCGAAAGCCAAATTGATAATTGGAATTATCTTTTTCTTAACAAGAAAAGAATTGAGTTGTTCATAAACCAGTCGTTCAAAGGCCTTTGCAAACGGTGTAATTATCGATATAGGTCGATAATTATTTGGATCAGTTTCTACACCATTTTTAAAAATAGGTACGCTGAGCGTACATGCGCCCGCTATCAGCATGGTTCAGCAGATCTAGCGTGACTATAGGTTCAAGATAGGCTATAGATTCAAATACATTCATTTCTTGCTCTCTATTGACATTCAATAGCTCTGAAGGTCGTAAACAGTTTTATACCAGTTTTCCCAGCTAAATCTAGTTTTATTCCAACGTACGGTATCGTTAATCGAGTTTTCATAATAATCATAAAATCATAACACAATTTTTTCATCGTCAAAATACGAAATTTTGGCACACTCCTTGCTAAGATGAGCTGTTGGACGTCAGTTCCAGTCTCTTTCAATTGGTTTTGTCTGCGCGGTTATATATTACAACACCAAGCTTACTGGCTTTATTTTGTGGACTCCAGTTCTAGCTCGAGATACCTAAATTGTTATGTGACGACCAACATACAGTTTTCAGTAATAGTGATATTTTTGCATTTAACGATAACATAAATTAGCATTAATTAAATTAACGCGACAAGCTGCCTGAAAGCTACAATGTTTTGAAAATATATGTTTTGAAAATATATAAGTTTTCGTTGCCAAACAACTTGTGCAAAATTTATAAAGTTCTTTTTGGAAAAATAACGAATTTTATTCAATATTTAGAGTATTTGAGATGATTGTTTATAAATTTCATACAAATTGATATAGTGATGATTTTGTATTAAACGAGATAGCGTTTAGAATCAATTAATTCGAAATACCTTACTTGTATTAAAATTCGCGTCGTACTCATTTTCGCTCAGCTTTAAATTCGCGCACCTTGTTGAGACTTATTCGCGCTGCTTTAAATTCGCGCAAGCAATTTTCCATGTTTGTTCTTTTTGGTTTGTTTATTAATAGAACTATTAACGCATTTATAATATACAAATATTTTTGAATGACCTCAAAAATGGTGTCACGACTGAAAAATGGAGTTAAACCAAAGTAAGTGTGGAGTGTTATACATCTTACCAGATCTCGTGAACCAACCATCACACAGTATACGGTGCTTGGTACCCCAGTTAACCGACCTAACAGTCAGAAAGATCTTGGCATGTCTATAACTGGTGACCTCAAATGGAACAAGAAAGTGCAGGAGATTTCGTCGAAGGCCAACAAGATGCTGGGTTTCGTGAAGCGAACAGCATACATGATTGGTAACCTATCGGTCCACAAGGCACTCTACCTGACTTTGGTTCGCAGTCAACTGGCTTACGGTAGTCAAGTGTGGGCACCCCAGACGGTCAGCAACATTCTAACCATCGAACGTGCTCAGCGCCGTGCCACCAAGTTCATCCTATCTCTGCCATACCAAACAGATATCTCGTATAAAGAGAGATTGCAGATTCTTGGCATCATCCCTCTATGTTACTGGCACGAATATTTAGACATCATTTACATCTTTAAAAGTCTCATAAATGACTCTGACAGTAATATCTCGGTTAAAGTCCCAACACGAGAAACAAGAAGAGCAAGTAATGGAACCTTCCTAAATGTGGGAAAGTGCAGAACTGTCAACTACCAGAACAGTTATGATATGAGAGCCGCGAGCGTGTGGAACACTCTTCAGTCTTCCCAGTTATATTAGAGACACAACTAAGTCTATAGAATCATTCAAAACATTACTACGCAAGCACTATAAAGATCTAACGGACAGTGTTTTCAACCCCGATGACCCGAGAACTCTTAAGTCAGTTTGTGTGAAATGTCACACAAGTCGTCCTTTATGGAACTTATTATCTAGATCATGTTTTTAGGTCAATCGAACCTTATATACTGGTCCCTTATTGCATGTGCCGAATGCAATTACCATAATGCTTATGAATATTACTTTATCCTATGGTTCAACTCTTGTTGAAAATGTTTGTTTACAAAGGTTTAAGTATATAAAAGCGACAGACTCCATGGGGTTACCAATATTTTAAACATTTATTCGAATATCTGTACTTTTCGACTCTTACTAGTTTACAAACTTGCAATACAAAAGTGAAATCGACAACTTTCATTGTATTTTTAGGTATTACATGTATGTGTCAATCATCGTTGTTAATTATTGCAAAATCCAAAGTGGGCGGAAGGCGCTTTTGACAACATTTTCATCAGACCTATGTTTCGCCCTTTCCGTCGACGAATTTTAGGGGGGTGAAACGTAGGTCAGTTATCAGGCTAATGGCGCAGCAACAATAACAACGGTTTGGTTATTTATTTAATTATACAAACAAATCTGCATAAAATATATAATCAGTTGCCGTAGCTAGCTAAATACTTAGTTGTATAAATGTATGAAGTTAGTTGTTAGTTTTTTGCTATTTGATGTTAACGTATTGTTCTTGGGTTCGCAGTAATTGGCCAATCGCTGTTGCGAATAGCCTGCCATATAGTCTATTTAGTTAATTCGTTAAATTATTACTTTGTAATAACTGTTAAGACTATTTGGTGAAGTTAATAAATTAAAAATTAAAAAATAATCTGAAGCTATATAAGATAAAGAAAGAAAACAAAGAAAATTACGACTATGTTTACATTATAAGTGCAATATTTTAGGTTACAGAATTCACTTCTTCACACTTACATTTGTCCAAACCACTGTCACTTCGATAAACTTTATAAACAATAAACCAAACTTAACTTTTCGCGACTTAAAACATTAATATTTAGCGTTTCTTTACACTACTTTCAACGTACTTTGAACGTTCAACATGGCTGCATGGATCGGGATTACAAGTAATAGGAAATGAATGTAAACTCTCGGCACTCTCCATCTAGTATTGCTTTCTCGTCCTCTTCGTTTGACAGTGAAGTAACAAGAAATCCACGCTTTCTTAGTTCACGGACGTGAGAGTCAAAGAAAAAGTTCAATTTGCAAATGGTTTCTCCAGGAACCGATCACACTAAAACACTAATTGATCACATATTATACTAATATGGCTATTGATCAAATTCCCATAACCGGTAGGCAGAATGCAAAATACATCTTTACGGTGAATCAAATTGGACAAGGTGCGGTATTGATGCTACGTTAAACTTTTAATTCAGGAAATCTATCTATGAATGTAGCCCTGAACAGCTTCTTTCAAGTCTTGTTCGTTTATTAATATAGACATTTCAAATGTTTCAATTCTTGTTCAATATTTAAAATTTTAAATAATGTGTTGTGCATGCATGCTAACGAAACGCCTGCGAACAGGCTATGATATGATGTTTACAATATAAAATCAGAACACGTAGTCTATCGAACCTATAGTCAGCAACCAATCAGCTCTTTCCTTCCAATCTTGAAAGTTATGTGCGGAATGAACCCGAAAAACCCCGCCAATTTCACCAGAGGGTTATTCAACAAAGCTAGCCAAAGGCGAAAACAATACCCTCTGACTCCCAGGGGGTATTGTTAAACACTCCTAATTAGTATTCTATTAGTATTCACTGATAAAACACTCCTAATTAGTATTCTTTATATAAAGAATACTAATAAGGCAGTATCTATTGTAGTCGTGTCCTTATTAGTATTCTTTATATAAGGAATACTAATAAGGCAGTATATCTATTGTTAGATTTGTAGTCGTGTTTGAACTCGCGCTGCGCGCTCGTGACTTTAAACCTAACAAGACGCCGACTCGGCGTTAACCTCGGGTCGGTGGATAGGGGATCGTCTGGTAAATATCCAAAAATTGTGTAAATCACGATAGTTTAATAGT